AGGGCTGATTCGCTAACAATGGCGCTCCATATCACGATCTATATCCTTATCCACTATCAAATCAAAACTTCTTTGTTGCTCTAAGTGTGTGCAAGAAATGTGTTTCTCTTTGTTGCTCTAAGTGTGCGTAAGAAATGTGTTTCTTCTTTGCTTCAAGTCTATACCAGATCTGAGTCGGCCACTTCGATCCCGCGGAAATCCCTTGTTTGTTTATTGAGTAAGACGCTTGAGAATCAAAGATTTATTACAACCGCCCATCTCGCGTGAAAGTAAAATGAACGATTTTTTGCACCCAAGCTCTTGGTTTACAGATGTGCATTTGATAAAATCCATAAATTTGCAAAAATTGCAAAAGTTGTGAATGTAGAGCCTCTTCAATTTTCGTAATGCGTCCTGAGAAATTATACCGTTTTGAGTACTTTTGGCAAAGCAAGAAGATTGGTGAAACAGCAATGAGTGTTGCGCCTCTCGGCTATTTCTCATGAAAAAAGCTTATGTACCATAGGCTTTGTCATGTTAATGATTGTAAATGAGAGTAAGTCACCTTTTTGGAGGATACGTTTGTTATTTTGTCTAGGATACTGGAAAAGGGCTTGAAAGAACCCTTACGCTAACTAATGGTGTCACTATAATTGTCGGATGCATCATAGGATCGGGCATTTTTGTGGGTCCTACAGGAATCCAAGAAGGTGAGTCAATCCCTTACATTGCTGCCACTTCTTGACCTTTCAGCTGCTGGCTCTGTTGGAGCCTCACTTATTATGTGGATTCTTTGTGGTGTTTGGTGTGGTCTCGGTGCATACCTGTACGCTGAGCTGGGAACTCTGATTACCAAATCTGGAGGAGATTACGCTTACATTATGGAGGCATTTGGCCCGTTTATAGCTTTTCTTCGTCTCTGGATAGAAGCCATTGTCGTGAGGTGATTGAATTGTACTACAGGAAAGCGACTTAGTGTCCTTATTACGGCGAAACTAAGGTCCGCATCGTTGCGATCATGCAAGATTCTGCGTCCTGCTTGCTGCTCTTTCTTTGATCGCTTCAAAGCAGTGTCCGGCCAGAGTGGGGATTTTGGGATTCCAGTGC